CAAGGGTAAATGATTACAATTAATGAAAATTAATGGGAATGTTTTAAAGGGCCTCTTGTTTTAGTGTGTGAGGTTTATTGAGAAATTCTGGAAATGCTGTTATTCTCATTAATGGTTTTCCAGAGAGGAGATAAAAGTTGTTAAAAAGGGCATACTCTAAAACCTGGCCTGGCCCCTTTGGCCTGGCCTGGCCTCTAAGTTGGCCTGGCCTCTATTTTGGCCTCTAATTTGGCTTCAAACCAAATTTTGGCCTCTGTAAAAATTTTTGGCCTCAATTTTGGCCTCACTCAAAAATATTTTCTTTTTCAGAATTTGATTGATTTTATTGATTTTTTACTGGTTTCATTTTTTTTCACAGATTAAGCAGGTGATTAATATATTTTTGATGATATGTAAATGTGAACATTAAAATAATCATGTACTACCACCAATAAGGATTATTTTATTGATTATCAATTGATCAGTGTACAGTTATTTCATTTTATTATTTACAGGTATTTCATACAGACACGCTACCGATACTCTTGCTTATAATTATTTAGAAAAAAAAAGTATCAGAGTTTATTTTGTGTTTTCCAAATTGTGAACATTGAAAAAAATCTCTAGTAATAATTCATGTCAAATGTCATTAATAGCTTCGAAAAATTCCCACTTGTTAATAGATGAATCATCATCTTTCACACACTATGGAGTGTTGTGTTACTGTTATGCCTGCATCATCTGTGTGATATATGAATACAGGCACCTAAGATTTTTTTTTCAAATAAATATACCAAGACAGATACCAAAATATTTTTATCACACTTATTTGATTACTCTGTTAAAAATTCATGTTCACTTTAATCTAAGAACAGTTGGTATTTAAAAAAAAATTAAGATAAATAACATTATCAGATAAATAACTTTCTGTTCCTGGTGTGCCGTAACACTGTAATTAGATATCAAATGACAAAAAATTCTGCAGCATGGTTCTTGACAGGGAGTTTAAAGGTTGGAGTTAATCAGTAATGACATGTATATGTGCATAGGCTGTTAAGCCACCCATGATTTATAAAGAATTTCCTGCTACAACTTTCACTACCTACAATTATCAAAACAAAAGTTGAGTTTGATGATAGATTATTAACATTTGTGCTGTAAAACAATTGCATCCTATTCACCATTAGAACCCTATCATATAGATTACTTGCATATCATAGTATTGACTCTTTTTCTATCATTTGTAAAAGTAGTCAACATCATCAAACATATTTTTTTTAATTCTAAATAAAGACAGTTAAAAAAACTTGTATTAAACAAGTAATACTTAAAACGGCAAATTTAAAATTCTTTTTAGTTCTTGGTTAATTACTACTCATCTGCATTTCTTTGTTGTCTTCATAATTTAATTGTGATGTTTCTAAGTATTTGTTTTATTTAAACAAAATTTTATTCACTGGTGTTATCGTGAATAGGGCTGGGCAGCAGGCGCAGCCTATTTTAGCCCTCTCCCTGATTTTGTAAATGTTTTTTACTCTGTAAAAATTATCATTCCTACCATGGAAATTTAAAAAAATAAAGGCACATTTAATAAATCATTAAGAGAGTGTCTTTTTGAAAGTAAAATTATATGCTCTGTGTTATAGTCTTCAGAATTGCAACAGATCAATAGAAAATCAATAAAAATAAATCAGATTGGTAGTAGTGTATAATTATTTTAATGTTCACATTTACATATCAACAGAAATATATTAATCACCTGCTTAATCTGTGAAAAAATGAAACCAATAAAAAATCAATAAAATCAATCAAATTCTGAAAAAGAAAATATTTTTGAGTGAGGCCAAAATTGAGGCCAAAAATTTTTACAGAGGCCAAATTTGAGGCCAGGCCAACTTTTGAGGCCAGGCCAAAATTTGGTTTGAAGCCAAATTAGAGGCCAAAATAGAGGCCAGGCCAACTTAGAGGCCAGGCCAGGCCAGGCCAGGCCAAAGGGGCCAGGCCAGGTTTTAGAGTATGCCGTTAAAAAGAGCTATAAACATGAAATGAAAAAATTGGACTCTAGGGGAAAGAAAATTATTCTTTTAATGATGATTAATTGAAGTACATGTAGAAGGTTGCTGCTGGTTTGGACATCAGAAGTAAGATTTGTTTTTTCGAGGGGTTGAAGGTAAGGTATCGGATGAGACTTTCATAGCATGGGTTTCTAGGATGTGCAAGTTTTCACATTAAATAACAGATATAATGAAGGAAGAATGATGGATTATTTCATTAAGTAAGTAGTGACTTAACATGATTAAGCATTTTCCAGTCTTCACGAAAACTCACTGGTCCGAAGACCGAGGCCAGTGAATTTGGATGTCGGGTCAGTGAAAATCAAAATTCAAGAAGTCCGATGGGCTTGTTGATTATAAAAATCATACACAGTCAATATATATCTTAACTGACTTACTTGCATAAATTTCATTGATATATAATTATAAAGAACAAGCACGTGTTGTTGAATTGGTTTATTGTAACATGGATGTATTACGTAACAACTGGAACTAGCTAGTAACTATTAACTAGTACGTAAAATGTGCGAATTTCCAAAGAACAACTTACCGAAATGCGACAAAGGATGAAAAATGACGGCATACAAAAGTTGAAGTGTGCAAACATGTATAAATTTACAGTTATGAAAATGTATTTGTTTTATTTATTAATTAAGGGACCAGTAAAAATTTGGGTGGGCCATTAAATTTTGAAAGTTCACTGGTCCGACTGGCCAGTTAGGTTGAAAAGTTTTCGTGAAGACTGATTTTCAGAATTAAAGTAGAAGCTTATTAATTCATTCTCTGCAATCCTTAGGGGGCAAATAATGTCAGCACACCAATACAATAGGGTTTAGGAGAGGCAATATTGAACAAGGTTGGGAGATGTAATATAATCAGTCCCTTTTGCTTCAGCATTTGTAAATGCGATGTATTGATCACTTGGATTTTGCTGCAATAGTGCTTATCTATGGGTCAAACACCAAGGTCTGTCAAGAGATTTGGAAAGCATTGTTGGATGTCAGCCCTATCTTGTAACACAATAAGCGTGTAGCCATTGACTGATAGACATAGAAAGGAACATGATAGCTGGGGTACGTTGTCTTCCACTGTGTAACTGTGAACAGGGATTTGGAAATAGAGAGAGAGAATAGAATTTCGTGGACAGTTATCAGAATGGGTATTTTGTATTGTATCGCAGAGATAGGAGGTGATTAATTAATAGCACATTTGATAAAGCTTTATTGCAACATAATTGTATGACCACAAAACTAAGGAAAGAAAGTTCAAAAGAGTTTTTCACACTATAATTTGAAAATGAATATATGAACTTTTTACTACTACTGGTTAGCAGTGTGAAAAATCGATCAGAGTTATAGACAGACATGTATGAAAAAGTTTGTTTTAGTCTTTAATCAGTTTTTAGCTCACCTGAGCCGAAGGCTCAAGTGAGCTTTTCTGATCACATTTTATCCGGCGTCCGTCTAGCTGTCTGTCTGTCCGTCTGTCCGTCTGTCTGTCTGTCTGTCTGTAAACTTTTCACATTTTTGACTTCTTCTCAAGGCCAATTTCAACCAAACTTGCCACAAAGCAACCTTGGGTGAAGGGGATTCAAGTTTTTTCAAATGAAGGGCCACACCCTCATTTAAGGGGAGATAATTGGGAATTAATGAAAATTTGGTGGTATGTTTTAAAAATCTTTTACTCAAGAACCACTGTGCCAGGAAAGATGAAACTTATGGGGAAATATCCTCAGGTAGTGTAGATTCAAATTTGTTCAAATCATGACCCCCGGGGGTAGGGTGGGGCCACAATGGCCAACCAAAGTTTTAAATAGAAATATATAGGAAAATTCTTTAAAAATCTTCTCAAGAATAGCAAAGCCAGAATTGATCATATTTATATGGAAGCATCCTCAGGTAGTTTAGATTCAAGTTTGTTCAAATCATGACCCCCCGGGTTAGGGCTGGGCCACAATGGCCGACCAAAGTTTTACATAGAAATATATAGGAAAATTCTTTAAAAATCTTCTTCTCAAGAATAACAAAGCTACAATTGATCATATTTATATGGAAGCATCATTAGGTAGTGTAAATTCAAGTTTGTTCAAATCATGACCCCCGGGAGTAGGGCGGGGCCACAATGGCTGACCAAAGTTTTACATAGAAATATATAGGAAAATTCTTTAAAAATCTTCTTCTCAAGAATAGCAAAGCCAGAATTGATCATATTTATATGGAAGCATTCTCAGGTAGTGTAGATTCAAATTTGTTCAAATCATGACCGCCGGGGGTAGGGCGGGGCCACAATGTCCGACCAAAGTTTTACATAGACATATAGAAAAATTCTTTAAAAATCAGCTTCTTAAGAATAGCAAAGCTATGATTGGTCATGGGACTACTTTTGGATTTAAACTTTTCAATAATAAACCAATTTCTACTTTTTCATAGCCATAGTGCTCAGGTGAGCGATGTGGCCCATGGGCCTCTTGTTCAGAATAATTGTTATTCAGAGCTTAGGAAGTTTTTGCTTTTGGTTGGGCTTTATATTTAGCAGTAATCCAGTGTCATTGACCTTCCGAGTAGAACCTGATGTTGTAGAACAATGACACTGGTAAAGATAGGGAAAGTCGCATATCTAGTGCTTCTACCCGGTATCTCCTTAGTCAAGCATTTTCATTTCAATTTTTATTTTATTGCAATCAAGATAATTTATTGTTATAAATGTTATATATCATAGTGTGAAAGGAACGTCAAATTTCCATTTATATATACCTGGTAAATAAGAATCAATTAATTGAATGGTTCACAGTCTTGATTGTTATTCTTTACTCCGTTGAACTCATGTACATGACATTCATTTATAAATTACTTTTTCTAATACTTGAAATAAGAAGATCTACATTAAAGAACGAAGTATCCTGATTAGATTACAACCTGTTGAAATTTTGTTCTATTTTGAGTGTACTCTGAAATGTTTCCTTTGTAGAATGGGCTGATGAGAGTTTACCTGGCAGTAATATTCTACGACTCATTTATCAAGGAAGGTTCCTACATGGAAATGTAACACTAGGAGGTAACACATTTTTCTCAATTCTTTTTGTATATTTTTTATTTTACCTATATGAATAGAATGTTTTAATGAAAAGTTTTAATGGTCTTTTAAAAACTTTTCTTTAACACATTGTATTATTAAAGGCAAAATAAAAAGAACATGCGGCATATAGTCAAATTACCATATAGCGGGTTTCTTTCACATTTTGCTTGCTCAAAGGTATCCCAATAATTATGTGAAACCGCTAAAAAAAAGCCAATGTTAGCATCCTGCTAAAAATACCCTCTATACGGTATATGAGAAAGTTTTGTTGGAGTCTTTTTAGACAATTTGAAATGTCTACGATGTATGAATTTTAGTTAACATTTTTAAAAAAAAAAAAAAAATGTGAGGATTTAAGTACAGTCAATTCTCGAATTATCGCCATTCGATTCATCGCCATTTTCGCTATACCGCCATGATTTCCCAAGAACGTTTTTCCTGCTATATAAAATTCTCTTTATAACGCCAAATTCGCATACCGCCATCCGCCACCCTGTTTTCACAACAAACGTCCATTTTTAAGTGTCAATTATCTCGATATACCGCCACAGATGCGTGTGGTCAGTGAAGCGCGGTTAATTGGTTGACACTATCCCTGTTGTAAAGCATGCAAAGGCAGACAAGGTACATGCAATTAAGTAATTAAACAAGAACTAAATAAACAAGAATTTTAACATAAACTGTTATAATAAGAGCTTAATCCACGAACCATAAAATATGGCCTCATCCCCAAAATTAAAATGATTTTTATTATCGATAGTGGAGACTTTAAGCTTTTCATAACCGTTTTTCTTTTTTCGATATCTATTATACTTGTTCAAAACGAGATCTTGCAATATGGTATTGTTTTGATGGAAAAATGCATTAGGAACGTCACTTTTTGTAATATAACGTCACGTAAAATGGCGATAGAGATGACTGTAGGATTATAATGCACCTATTTATTAAAGGTGCTTAGACATATAATTGAAGTAAATATTCTCAAATGTTCTGTTTAATGTCACAACTTATTTTCAAATTGTTTCAAGAAAGAAGAATTTTTATTAGCCAAAGGAACAAGACTGATACGTCGCCGTTGTTTTATGAAGATCTTATTCTCTATAAACACATCTGGGCATCATTTTGTTTCCAACAAATGCTAGAAAATCACAGTTGAACAATGTCGGCAGTTCTGATAAAAACTGATTTTGATGAAATCTCACACATATTTTATAAAACCTGGGTAACAATTTGAAAAAATAATTTGAATTATAATCTTATTTAAAAAATCTTTTTAGTCGGTGCGATTAAATTGGGTAGGTCGCGTTAGGGGAAACAAATGTATTTTTTATTTTGACCTCGGCAGAAAAATCATATTATTTCAGATCATGTAAAAAATTCCATGTTCGCAGGTATTTTAGAGCATAATGTTTAAAAGCTAGAAAATGCACTTGTATGAGCCTTGCACATGTCCGATCAACGTATTTGGGGTGGGGGGGGTGTCAATCAAAAGGAAAAAGCATTAAACATATTTTGAAGTGAATTATCATTTATCTTACTACGCAGAGAGAGTTCGTAAAATAAAAAAAAAATACACGAGTGAATTTCAAGAATTATTGAATTCCTATACGAAGAAGATCATATTAACTTGTTTAGCATGAATAAACAGGATTTTGCTCAAAGCAACATTAATGCAATCGCTCTCTTTACAGATTCCATTGTGTCTTAACGAATTTTTAGTAAGTCATTTCAAATATATCTCGTAAATTTAGTGGAATAACATGTCATATAATTCAATCAAAAATATATGTTTATATTTTGCCGGTCTCTAGCACGAAGCAAGAGGAGTTTTATGGGTCAGTTATTCTTATTTTTGTTTTTACTTAAGACGCCCCGCCTTCTCATTCAAATAATACAAATACCTCCATAGCTGTAATGGCTAAGCTGGGATTTTACGGTGAAGTATACGATTTTATTTATTCAATATCATGTATATATGGAAAGTCTCTTTCTCCAAAAAAAAAAATCTTTTATGAGTATCTATACAGACTATGCTTGAAGACTTTAGCCATAATATGACAATGTTGATTTGAAAAGGTAAAATTCTGCATTTAAAAAGGGGCGAGAAAGCAGAGTTATTAATATTAAATCCCCCCCCCCCCCCCCAACACACTTGGTGAGAAACAAACAATCTCCGTAGTGGTTCAAGTGGGAGTTCAGATTTCAGAGTAAGTAAAAGTAAAGTAAAAAATACCATACCAGCGCACCCAAAGAATACACAGGTCCTCTGCATTTGGTAAGAAGAATCGTGTATATACTAGGGATGGCAATTTGTAACCAGTTAATCGATAAATCGGTCGGAACGATGCTAATCCGTAGAACATCCGTAATCGGGAAGTCGGAAAAAATTAAATATATGTAAATTTGATCGCAGTTTCCTAAAAATCCCTTCTGCTTTTTTTCTTTTTTTTTAGAAAGGAAAGTGCTGCCGATTAAATTTTTATTTAGGGTTTTTACACATCTTTAAATAATTAAGAATATTTGGTTGTAAATTGTAAATAAATTGAAAGGTCAGACATATCTACTACTTCTGGTTATGGTATTAACGCAGAATTAACTTCTTTAACATCGGCGTTGAAAATTATCCCTTTCTGATTTCGCAAGCAAGATTCGTGGTTTTCTTATTTTTTTCTTGTCTATTGAAATTGAAATGAAATATACTCTTATGTACATAAAATTCCCCAATCAAAATAATAAACAGAATGTAACTTCTAACTAATGTCTTTTTAGCCTTTTATGAAAAAAAAATTGTCAATATGTATATCTTGATGCGACTAACCGGTTAATCGGACGGAATGTTTGGCATTTAACCGATTAGCAATTCTGCAATCGATTGCAATCCCTAATATATACACATGTAAAGTTAACAACCCCCCCCCCCCCCCCCCCCCCCCGATAGGGTTAATCGGTTTAAAGCTTTATCCTTGTCAATGAGTTTAAGTTTGACTTTTGGAAAGGGTACTTTAGACATTTTATTTTAATTGATAGTACAAGTGGATATGAAGTGGATATGACTCCCCTACACCACAACACTTTGAAAAAAAATTATGGTTCCATAATTGACTTGAATATTATTAATTTTACTGAAGTGTCTCGACCATCGTGCAAAATTGAATGAAGAAATAAAGAAAGAAAGGATGAAAGGCACTTCTTAGGAAAAATCCCCCCCACACACACATACATGCTTAAATTTGTGTTCTTTCTTAATTATATAAAGTGTATAACTTTTTTAGCTTATTAATATTTCTCGACTCCAAGCCACTCCTTTAGGGGGAAAGCGATGCCATGACCCGTACCTTAATATTTCTAGTAGTTACATGAACTATAGTGACATCTAGAAAAATGTATTAAAATTATGCGTTTTAATTCTGGAAACATATCTAAAGTATGTCGGAAAAACGACAGTGAGTGTATCAAGATTAATACTTTCGACGTAAATAAAAGATATATCAAATATACTTATACTTTTTTTAAATAAGAAGCCAGACAAGTATTTTTCGTTTCAAAAGGATTATAATATGTTCTACGGTGCGACCGTTGGGGCGAGCGCAGTTATTTACTATCAAAAAACCTTTTGCAGTTATTACTTGCACTGCCTATCCTCAGTTCATTAAAAAAAGAAAAGAATAAAAAGAAATCACTTCTCAAGCGTCGGGATCGAGATTCCGAACTTTTCGGAAGTTTCCGACAAATCGGAAATACCTGAGCCGTTAAGTGACGAAAGTATGACGTCAAATAAAAAGTCCTGTTGACTTAGATTGCAAATGATAGTTTTGTGGCATGGATATTGCATTAAATCGTTGTTTGTAATTTTTTTCAAGTAAGTTGTTGCTATGTTTTAGCCACCATGTTGCTATGCACCGCAAAGGATTATTGGGAGTTTGGAATTTTTTCACGCGGTGAGATAAAAATTTCTTGAAACAATGTGCAGATTTCAACCCGAATTTCCTCCGTTCGTACACGTTAGTCTATTGAGCTCACTACGCGAGCGGCGCTTCGCGCCGCCTCGCTGCGCTCGCTATAATTATACTTTTCACGATTGCTACAGTAACCACTAACTGCGCGTTTTATACAAATTTATGTTACATACAGTTCGATATGGGTATTTGTTAAAAACATATTCTAATGCAATTGTTTTGTAAAACACTCTTTGATTGGCTAATGCACTGATGTTTGAAGCAGTAAAACGAGCATTAACGAGCGTGGAAGCTTTTTCATTGTGACGTCATAATAGAGCGACGCAAAAATACAATGCTCCGTGACGTATTTCATGTAACAAAATTCAACAAAATAAGACGTAAACAACAAACAAAATGCATGGATTGCATTAGAATGGGAATAACTAAACTTCTAATTTGGTATTTGCGACCGTTAATGCTGATTTAACGGTCGCAAACATCCGTTTTACCGGCTCCGCTTACGCGTCGCCGGTAAAACTCAGTTTGCGACCGTTAAATCAGCATTAACGGTCGCAAATACCAAATTAGAAGATAGTTATTCCCTAAATTTTGTGCTGTACGCATTCTCACCTGAGTTCTATTTTGGATCCAGTTTACAGGGATCCAGTTTACAGGAAACCCAAATGTTTAATTTTTTTAATGATTTATTTTTCAAGAATTTTACTCATTTCTTTTTTTTTAAAGGTATATTTATTAACGACAGCAAGCTACCCAATAGGTCCATAAAAGCATTAGAAATTTTATTAAAATGAAAAAAGCGAAATCTCACTTTACATCTTTTATGACGTCACAAATGACGTATAATTAAATCAGTAACGTCATATGTATGTGTAGATGATCATAGCATAAAGTTTTTTTTTTTCGAATCTGATATCAGAAATTCTTTTCCACTATTAATTATCGTCTGAAACATGTGGAATAGAAATGTGTTGTTCTTTTACTCTTATAAATATAATACCCCCCTTGTTCGATGCATTTAATTTGTGTAAAACACATGGAAATGTGTGATGGTTTGTAGTCATAGCTCTTTCAAAGATATTGATTTCTTCTTTTTTCAATAGGGGCACACACGTTACGGGTAAATATTTTCATTGGAAAATATCTCTTGCATAGTGATTGTTATTTTTCTGTTTTAATATTTTCCGTAACGAATGTGCTCAATGTGTAAATCACGATTAACTGTCCTATTTTCGGCATTTTCCCGGAAAACTTCGAACCATTGTAAGGTTTAGTTTTTACTTTGATATCAAAAACATCCGGTTTCGACAGAAATGTTGCACACGTAAACTGTATCAATGGTCTAAGGTGAGATTCACCAAAAATATTTATTCTATAGGCCTATTCAAATTTTACATATTTGCTAGGCCTTATGAGGCACTTTGTGGGTCGAGTTCTTTGTTTTCTGTTTAATAAAATTCATTTAGTCACAGCTTTGCCACGAAAGCGGTCGTTGTTAAAGTACGCCGATAACTATATTATTTAGATTATCTCTGCTTAAAACAATGCAAAGTTTGCTGAAAAAATAATTATACGGTATAAATTTTGAATGTTTAATTAACAGTGTTGCCATAAACAATACGTTTATTCAAGAATTCATTTTACTTACTATCGGCAATATATCACGACGATCGACCCAGCATGGTTTTTTTTTCAATAGCAGAACTGCAGATTTAAATGCACACCCATGTACTTGTCTTTATTTCATAACTGCACATATCGTTTTATAGCGAATTTGTACATTAAAAAAAATTACTTGAAGTATTTTCAATCAGAAATATGTTTTTATATACATGTACATGTAATAATAAGAATAGAAACGCTAAATGGTGTTTCTAAGAACGGTAACTCTACTTCTTGTTTTCCAGAAGAAGGGAAATTCAATTCATCGCCAAATTCGTTATACCGCCATGATTTCTAAATTACAAAAGGTGGCGGTTTATCGAGAATTAACTGTACATGTAAATGTATTATAAAACCAAAATACTACACATATATATAAAATGTATGTAAATGCATTGCAGATAATTTTTCTTTAAGAGCAAAAATGTTTCAGAAATATACACCAAGTTCATTAAGTTTTCATAACTGTGACCTACATAGGCGCATTATGCGATGCATAAAATATTTTTAAAGGCCAATGATCTTTATGATTACAATATTCATTATCAGATATAATTCGAACATGAAAAGGGAGACTAAATATTATTTGGCTGCTTGTTAGGGCAAGTGACTTTGACATTACTGGTAATAAGCTGTAATAATAAGGTCAATTGTCAGTGGGTGGAGAGAAGCAAATTTTATATAAAATTTTAATGCTTTAGTTAATAATCCTAGGAGGTCGCTTTTATGCAAAAGTAACAAGACCAGATGAAGCCTAATACAGCTATTGATTTCATCCTGGTGTGCATTCAGTGGGTATATTGATTGGAGAGCTACAGTAGGGTAATACATGCATCAAGCCAGAATAGTTGTAATCGCAAAGTAAAATCAGATGTCAGGATTCACCCTGGGGGCACCTAACAGGCAAAGACACCAGAACTTCTTATAAGTTCCAATAAAAAGCAGCATCAGCTGAAGCAATCCAATGACAGTCTCTTATTCTGGCCCTGAGCTGGCTATATTTTTATGGTGGTCCCACTGGGAGAAAGTGGTTAGTGGTAGTGCTAAAAAGATCAGAGATCTTAATTTGGTTTGTAGGAGATTCCTCACGTTATTAATCAAACACTTCCCTAGGAGTCTTACAGACTGAGTAGAATTGGAAAAAAAATGATTATACAGTGGATAAAAACACTTATAATAAAGAAAGTTAGATTCAGTACTTCAGCTGAAGTCATGAAGAGAAGCAGCTTAACTTGTATTTTACAAAATCTACACTTAAACATTATACATTTAGTAGGACAAATCATGTGCAAGTGTAGCAACTACTACATTCTCTGTCATTATTTTTTTTGAAGAATTTTGTAAATTCTAACTTTAAATGGTTGATATAATGTAATTATTAAATGAAGATTCTGATATATTTTTTCTTTGCAGTGATGCTGATTGACTAAATACATGTACTAGATGATTAAGTAGGACACATTAAAATTTCTGTTGTTGTCTTTGCAGCTTTGCAACTACCACAAGGGAAGACAACTGTCATGCATTTGGTGCCCCGAGAAAACTTACCAGAGCCAAACAATCAAGGTATGTATACTGTATTCTCTGCTGAATGTGAGTACAAGTATGACGAGTACAAGTACTATTTAGATTCAAAGAGTCTCAAAGAAAACATTTTAACCCATTTTAACCCATGAGAAGGTTTTAAAGAACTTTTCTGTCTGAAAATTAGTCTGTTGTCTGTTAGTGGCACTGTTTAAACTTTTTCATGTTTTTTTTTTCTTAGAACGTTTTGCAAATTACAATCAAACTTGGCAAAATAGGTTTGGCTCACAATTATTTTTCTGAAGAATCACTGGGCCATGGTATTTACACGAAAGATTTTTGACATGTATAAATTGAAGTTTGTTCAGATCATGGATTAGGGTAGGTCAAGAACAGGTGATCAAAGTTTTAGAAATTAATTTGTTTGGGGGGGGGGGGATCTTTAATAATACTTTCCTCAAGATCTTAATATGCAGACATCTTTGGAAATTGCAGATTCAAAATTATATCATGACCATAGGACGATAGAATTGTGCCATTTTAAAGAATTAAATGTTTACATGGGAATATTCTGTGGAAAAAAATCTAGAAATTATTCTCCTCAAGAATTTTAATTAGTCAGTATGCAAGCACTTTTTGGTTGTGCATCAAAGTTTTCCATGGAATTATCCTGGAAAAAATCTTTAAAATCTTCTCAAGAGTGACAGATTGTCAAATAACCATGCAAGCACTTTCAACTAATGTAGATTTCAATTTCAGTTTCTTTTAGTGATTCATCAATCATGTTAATTTGTTCAAAACATTAAAAATTTATGATTAGAATAGAGAATTAAAAAAAAAATCTTGAAACAATCTTTTGAAATAGGGCAGGACCAAAATGACTCAGGTTAGCATTGTAGCACAGAGCTCACAAAATGATACTCCTTTGCTCTTGGATTATATAATTGACAAGTGTAACAGATGAATAGATGGAAAATGCTAAATGGTCAAACACATCACATTTGGAAGCAAAAAGAATGAACAACTTATCACTATCTCACCTCCTCCCCAACACACTCAAACACACACTTTCAAAGCTAGGAAAAACATGAAATCAACACAGTTAAAAATTTCCCTGTTTTATAATATCACATTATTTATTATCAAACAAGATTTAGAAAATTATTATGAAAAAAGAAAATAAAAGGGTCAGATAAGAGTAATTTATAATATGATTGTACAAGTTAATGAGATTTGTTCTTGAGGGTGAATTATGAATCCTTGACTAGTTTATGTAATGTTATTTTAAGTGCACCAAGTTTGTTGATAAAATGGAAATAAGTATGTCTTATCTCACTTGAGTGCAGAAAGTATACTGAGTCCTTGACATGTAAGTTATATGTCAAGGTCAGACTTGAGATTACATGACTTGTACTTTAGAATATTTTTGCTGAACGACATGTAATTACACAAATAATACAAATGACAGCCCCATGAATCACAAAGTGACAGAAATGAATGCAATCATTTTTTTCTCCTTTATTTTCTAGGACAGTTAAAGAAAGACAAAAGTGGTGAGAGCAACTGTAGTAATTGCTGTGTTATAGTGTGACGTCTCATCTTCATTATCTTCTCTTCTTTTATCCGACACTGGGGAGTGCTGGGCAGGGATCGTGTTCCGTCAACACTGACCAGTCTGCCACAGACTCAACTACATATTGACTTTTAACTATAGCTAGTCTGTGATAACAATATATAGAGGGGACGTGATCGGAGGATTTTCAGGGAGCATCTACAGACACATCTCGGCATTGATTTACAAAGTCACAAAAAGGAACAAGAAGTAAAATAAACAGGAATTCAATGTAAACAGTTAGAATTTCATAGAAAATCTTTCCAGTACCATTAATTCTGAATTGTTAGAAAGTTCAGATCATGCATAATATTACCATTTCTGGATTAATGTGCAAGTATAACCAAATAAGGATTGTTAAAAATAATCAAAACAGTCTTAATATAAAAATCAATATGATTATTTGTAAAGAAATAATGTACATAAGAGTAAATTAGCCAGTACAAACCAAATCCTCTGAGCAGTTATTGTAAACTAATTTGTGAAATAGATATAATGTTATTTTCGGAAGCTAGATGCTATTTCATAATTATGAAAGAGCCAGTAATGGTGGCTTGACTACATTAGACATGGCACTGATTTATAAGTCAATACAATGCTAGCTTCCTTGATGCGAGATGAGTTGGGCCCGGTTTTTGTCAGTTGTTCAGTGTTATTGGCAGAAGAATTCTTGAATGATTAAGTCCTTTTAGATCACGTAACAAAAAAGGACACATTTTACAGTCCAAGGCTTTTCACTTCGTTCATTAACTCTGTTCTACGACTGACAGTCAGCGCCCTTCCTGCACCTCTTTTATTCAGTATATATCTTGTCTATAATATTGATTTTTGATGTTTTTCTAGAGAAATATATTGTTTTTTAAAAAAATTGCATTTTCAATCACCATGTATGAAAATGTGTTTTTATATAGTGATGAATTAAGTTGTTTTTATTTGTTGATCTTAATTCAAGTGAAATTGCTGCCTAGGTGATTGAGAAACTTAAAAGAATGTAAGATTTTAATGTCCTGAATTGAACACAATTGATTTAAATGATGATGATTTTCTGCAACACCATTCCTTCATAATAATACAGCTACAGAACTGTATGTATCTGCAATCATATCAGACAAACTGGAGTAGCTTTAAATTATATCAGAAAGAAATTCTTCTGAAAGCCAGTGAAGTCTGGATAAAAACAAAAAAATTGATATTTGGGAACAAATTGTATGATAAAAATAAAACAGTTGTTTTCAGGTACATTCGACAACATTGCATAATTGATATGCAGAAGTGCATTTTAAACAGATAGATAGTTTTGAGGATAATTTTCATTATTAATGGAAGGAAAGTGAAAGCGTGAAGAATGAATAGATGTATAATACTGTGTATTGTATCCAGTGATGTGTCAAAACCAGATATGTGATGCTTTATAGACAGACTGAATGACTTGTGCATTTAATGACATAGTTAATACTTCTAAATCATTCTCTTTTTTTGCTTACTTATTCAACAGGAAAAAGGGGTCTACTTTTTATATTTTCTTTATATAATTCAGTCTCTATAAATAGTTTATGATTTATTGAATAACTAACGAATATTAGTAATTAATGCACAAATTTTTAAATTTCTATCCACATTTTGCAGATTTTCATTATGCTTTTGTATTGTGTTATTTTGAGCTACAGGTTTTAGGAATGTAATGTCTTTTTCATATAGATGAGCCATTTAAATTGCATTGCACATTTAAAGCAAACTACTTGCAGGTTCTTGTTGCACCAAAATGCTTTATGATGCTTCTATGAAACTAAAATTCCTTCTGCAATATAAATGTAATTAAATTGATAAAGATCAATTGAGAAAATTAGAATGATTTTAAAAATGTTTTTATTTTATTAGTTATGAATAAGGAAATTTAAAGTATTATATGGCAGATGAATAAATTAAAATCAGGTATGGTCCAAGATACCAGACACAAATATATGGTTTATATTTGGTTAAATTGATTGACACTTGCAGTATATTTGCTCAGATTAGTTTTGGTTTGTGTTGTCTATATATTTTTATATTGACAGGAAAGCTATTGTATAATAAATAAAAAATGATATAAAGGTATAACCCACAAGCAGGAATAAAAAAAAAAAATTCTTGCATGCTAAATCTGACAATTTTAATGTCTTTGATGTTATTATTCAGTATTGTATGGTAGGGGAATACATGTTGAAAGGTGATGCTCTGCAAATTGATTTACCAAAGTTTCATGGTTAGCCTTACTTTAAGAAAGCCTTGGCAGCTTCACTCTATGCAGTTTACAGGGAAAAAAATATTTGGATATATCAAGCTAAATTTCAGATGACTAGCTTTTTTAAATACAGTATCATTTAGGGGTTTGCTGAAGAACTAAAGGGTTTCCCTGAATTTTTATTTGCAATTTGAAATATCCAAATATGTTATTAAATGTAACGGGGAAGAAATATAAAGACTGTCTCATTAAGTTATAGTAAAGATAAAATTGGTATGCAAAGTGTTTAAAGTCATTGAAAATTGAATGTATTTGGACCAACAGAACTTTTTGCTATAGAAATTTGCATTAGAAGATAACATCTGTATATACTGAATTGTCATCATGATCACAATCTTGAATCAGGTTTGTTGGAGTATGTCTCGTTTTATTTTGAATGTAATAACAGTACAGTGGATGTCTTTTTTCCGTGATTACAAGTGTATTCTTGTAACATTTTTTATGTACTCTGATAAGCCTTTTTCAGTCTTGTTTCTTTATTTTATTTCTGAGGGAATTTACTGATACACAAGAAAGTAATACTTTCTACCAGCTTTATTTCTGAATTCATGATGTGGAGCATTTTGTTATAAATATTTATAAGTATTTGAAGAATGGTTTGTGACTGAACAAACAGCCTTAAAGAAAACACGAATTTTGAATGTCAAACACCATTACAAGAATAAAATTTTAGTTGCAACACAATCCACTGGTTTTTGTGTCCTTTACCACAAGTACACCACAAGTACAAATTAAAGTGTGTAAAAATAAGGGACACAGAAACCAGTGGCAGATGCAGAAAGATTTCCTGAATTTATTGTCTTTGATATTCAGCTTGTAAATTAGACATTGTAATAATTATCTAAGGAAGTCATCATTAAACAAGCCAACCTACAGATGACAAAGTTGGTGCTCAACTTAAATGTAGTGACTTGTTATATATCTGTAAATTTTGAATTGTATGTATATCTTGTTGATATGTTTTTTCTTGTGTAGTTTAATCCAATTCCCCAAACAAAGACTATGCTGTGAAGTGCAATACATGTAAAGCGAAATTTTAATGTGAAAAAAAGCTGCCATGTATAAGAATGTGGATTATTGTATGTCGTTGGAGGACTGCATCTTTTGAATTGTTAAGGAGACAGATTTTGTGATACCTAGTTGTTATTTACACTGATATATTGCTGTCATGTCATGGGCTGTCCTGGATAGTCCCTTTCTTGTCTGATTTTAAGGGGCAGGTCATTCAATGATACATGTTGTGGATCTGTCACATCATAAAAAAAGTAATTAAAATTTTTAATGATGAAACTGTCTTTTTATTTTAAACACACTTTAAGTAACTCTCTCAGAGTCTGAGACTGAGTATCCTGGATTTAAGTTTTAAGAGGTCAAAAACCAGGAGACTCTAGCTGGACCAGAGAAGCATATAATATAGTATATTGGAAGCGTATTATATTTGGCTGAGTATTCTAGTGCCTTTTGTGGAAAATATGATCTGCTAAATCAAGTACATCACTAAATGTTTTGTTTTCATATATTCATATAAAGCATATTCAGAAAGCGCTAATTCAAATCTATGCTAACTTGTTAGTTCCGCCAAATATCATACACGCCAAATAAAATACATTTACAGTATCTGGCTCTTACATGATGTAACTATCTTGAAATTAAGACAGAATTTTTACTTATAAGATTTAGACTTAGCTAAGATTGCTTACTTATGTGTTGAAGCCAGATTTACCACATCTAACTTTTTTTTTATGAAAAGTATGGTCGATGTTGTTTGGAATAGGTCCATTCTATAGTTATAATGGCTACTTGTGCTGTAAATTTACATTGAAGATGCATCTGGAATGGATGTTTGTAGAACTGGCTACAGTGGTCCCAAAAACTACTCACCTAGTATTTAATTTTCTATATATCATTGAAGGACCAGGTGCATATTAGTTGTCCAACATGATCAAAGTTTGCATGATATTATGTAGAAATGTCTTGCCTTGGATGCTGAATAAGGCCTAGTAAATTTCTTGTAAAAGTGGCTATTGAAAATATCTGGTCTGACTCTAGAGCAGATAAATGGAGAATGCATTAAGATAACTTATAGCTGTGTTTTGCTAATGTTTAAGGAAAGAAAAACCAGCATTCTGAGAGCACTGCACTAGCAATACAAGTCCCCTACCGGAAAATATAATCTGGTTCCTGTTAAAAATTGAAAATGCCATAATTCCTTAAAAAATCATTGAAGCGTAACGAAATGCAAACTTGATCTATAGCTCAAGGTAAATTAGTCACATGTCAAAGATTTCTTTGCCCCCTTTTCCTATGTGACTGGTAAATTTAGATATATCTACAGGAAACCAGAGTCAAGTAAAGAAGTACACACCAGGAAAAAATATAAAAGATAATGTGTTTGCTACATATGATAATCTTTCGATATTAAAAGAGTTCAAGTATAGGGTTAAGCAAATATTACTATTTTTAGTGTAAAATCACAAAAGAAAACCCTTAAAATTCCTATTATCACACGGAATAATTACTTCTGTAATCAAACATGCCAATTAGGGTAAATTAACAGAGAACTACATGTATTAATTATCTTAGTGACATGTAACTACACACATTTTTGGATAAATGTTACAAGTTAACAACCTTGTAACCAGTTAGAAAACATGTCATTGACCTTGAACAAGGCAACGTCTCCCTCTAAAGGCAGAGAAGTTTCATTGTGTAACCTGTCAAATTGTTATACAGTGTATATTACTAAATAAATGAACTCGCATATGAACTTAAGAAAGGGGTGCTGACAATCTTTGTTATGCCTGGTTTTGAATATGGTGCCATAGAGTATTTGTCCTTTCCAATTGATCTATTGGCCCCTAGCTCTGTCTTCATCCTTCCATCATGCTGTATAGTGTTTAGCTCAGTTTCAAAGAACTATTCAAATAATTTTTATCAAAGCTCCTATACATACTGATACATTCTTATGAGGGCTATTCAAGGGCAAACCTTATTTGCTGATACATACTAATAACAAGATGTGTTTGTGAAATATGCGCCCGGCGGCAACAAATTAAAAAAAAAAAGGCTATTTTAGCATATAGGTCAAGGTCACAAGGTCATTGACCTTGGTGTCATTTGAAAAAACTTAATTAGTGGAGTATGCATACCAATTATGAAGTCTCTATCTCCTATGTTTCAAAAGTTAAAGTGAAAGATCATCTTTCATGGTTCAAAAGTTACGGCAAAGATTAAAGTTTGCAAAAAAAACCCAACTGTTTTTAGCATATAGGTTGCAGTCAAGGTCACAAGGTCATTGACCTTGGTGTCATTTGAAAAAGCTTTATTTGTGGAGTACGCATAATAAATATGAAGTCTCTATCTTTCATGGTTCAAAAGTTATGGCGAGGTTAAAGTTTGCAGACAAACAGACAGGACAAAAACAATATATGCCTCAGATTGATATGAGCATAAAAACTATTCAGTGTCATCAACATATTTTCCATTGCCTTTGACTCTACTTTATAAAATTTATTAAATAATCTCCATATCTAAGAAACAAGATATTTTAATCAAACCTTTTGTGTTTGTACACACAACCACATCAGTATCATATAACCTTAACCTTTCTTTTGACCTTGAAACCACTTTCTCAATATAGTGTTTATCTCGACTATTTCAAAGAATTAAACTTCTCTTTAAAATACTTATATATTGATCAGAATTATATAATTGCATCAATATTTCTGTCCCTTGCTTTGTCAAAAGTGAGGAGACATTAAATCTCATTAGTCAGTCTGCCTGCCACAAAAACTTTAAACTTTGGTCATAACTTTGAATGGGAAGAGATAGAGCATGTACGTTATACATGTATACAGTAAAACTTGTTTAGTACTAACAAGGAAAGTGCTAATTCACAGATATAGCGCTGTTATCTTGGATCTCCCACTACATAAGTTTAACAAATCTCTTATACAGAATATAAAGAATTACGGATAGAGTGAAGTAATTTCACAGGTCCCAGTGACTTCGTTATAACCGAGTTTTACTGTATTACCTTTGGTAAGAATTTTGTAAATATACTATGATTTTTTACCCCATGACCTTGACCTTCAAGTTTGGTTTGCTTTTCAAAAAAAAAAAAAACCCATTAAATGTACTTTAAATTGTACTATTGAAAGAGAAAAGATAATGCTTTGAATTCATGTATTATACTGAATTTGTATATCACCTTTACAGTATGACCTTTATAAATATACTATGATTTAATTTATCCTGTGACCTTGACCTTTAGTTTGACCTACTATTTTAAAATGTTATCTTTCCTTGTAACTTTTGATTAAGAAGAAATAGGGCTTTCATATTTGACATAAGCATTACTTGCAACAAGAAGTTTTATGAAAATGCAAGATTTTTCACCTTTGACCTTGACTTTCATGTTTGACCTAATTTTAACTTTGGTGATTACTTTTATAAATGATGTGTGATTAGAGCGTACATATGTGTTGGCAGGAAAAAGATCCCTCCCTGCTCAATAGCTCTGCAGTGCCGAGTATACGACAAAATTTGCAGCTCTATACCATCAAGTGGTGGCGTCTCCATATGAGCGAAAAATCCTTGAGAGGGACGTTAAACAATATACAATTAATCAGTCATTAAACAGGCATCAAAGAGGTCAATTTTTTTTACCAATTGTCCTTTTCTTTGACCTCACTTTCTTAAATTAGTGATTATCTCAATTTCAAAGAATCATTTAAACAGGCATCAAAGAGCAATACTTTCATAAAAAGTTTTATTTACATAACATAAATAAATAATCTTGTGTCAAAACATTTTAAGCTGTATGGATGTGCTAACACACATTATTCAATTTTTAGCACAGCTTGAATTTACAATGTACCTCTAATTTCCTGGCCTTCAGGATATAATATGTTATGCATATCATTCCCACAAAATTATTGGTAAGATTTAGTGTGAAACTTCTAGTCAGTTCCAAAACTAAACAAAATACATGTGTACTTCATCACAGATGATAACAAAACAAAAACTACAGTAGTTATTCTACAGAACACAGTATATCTAGATGAAAGTTCATGTCTTTTCATCTACCATAATCTCAAACACTTGTAGCTTGATGTTTTCAATGAAATAAAAATAAAAAATAAAAAAAAAAGTTTGTAAAACTTGAAAGCAAAAGTTTCACGTAGTAACCAATAGAATTAGTTGAATATGTTCACTATAATCTTAGTACCTGATATACAGTTGATATGTTATAGTTTGAATCAGCTTAATTTACCAGTATCTCACACTATTAGGTAAAACTGAACGGAGTTACCTGCCCCTAAAGTTGTATAACAATGTAAACATAGAATATTCATTGATGTCATGATAAATAAGGCATAAAAGTGAATGGAATGAAGTGCATTAGGTCTTTGATGATTTTGTGCTTTTACTTAAATTCTGGATTCCCTGCTGAAGTCTAATTCAAATGTTAGTTCCCGTAATGTACTATTATGTACTATTGTACATTCAAGAGCAACAATAAGCCCATGATTGATATGCTTTTAGAGTAAAAGAAATTACTATGGTGAAACCATGAATTGGATTACCGAAACATCTGTTATAACCTATAAAGCATAAGAAAGGTCACATTTCAATATATTATGCTATTAAAAAAAGTTAGGTGCTTTGTCTGTACATGTACCATGTAACAAGTAATCAGCTATATCATTGTAAACTCATCAGAACACATTTTCATTCTTTAATTTGGAAATCAGATTTTAAAATTGTGGTAGTTTTTGATAGCTTGTGTAACAATTTTCTGTTAAATTTGTCTCTCATAGGTCCAAACTGCATAATATCCTCAGGCTCTTCTTTGAACCAAAACTGATCAAATTCCCAAAAGACGTGACCTGCAAAGAATGCAAAATGTATTGAACCTGATTTAATTAATTATCGTATGGAAAAGTTTTCTGAATTATTTTTTTTTCAATATTAACATTCCATCCAAATCATATCAGTTGCTCTCATAAATGATGTTTTTTTTTTTGCAGTATCATGTACTTTAGTCAATTCATGCCAAATCTTTTCATTGAAAAGCGAGAGATGTCAGAAAACAGAAGTCTCAATGACCTATTTCACAGTCTTTAAGAAATGAGAGTTTTATAATCAAAGGAAAATTATACAAACATGCAATATTTTCAAGGCTTGAAAACACAATATATGACATGACAATTGTGTAACTTACAATAAACTTCATGAAAATCCTGAACTCTTGGAGCTCCATCTATCACATTGTAGAAATGAGTACG